GTTTTTTTTTCATATGCAGCCGCCTATTCAGTTAATTGTTCAAGTTGTATAATTTAATAACGGCAAAACATTTTATTATTATTATTGAACATATTATTGTGATAGAAGTTAACAAATCATCATCAAGTGCAGATATAACATGAGGGTAATGCGTCCTCAGTTAGACCTGTTAGTAATGTTAATTATTAATTTAGACTTAATAGGCTTAAATATGTTTTGTGGCTTCAAACTGATTATTATTATTATTATTATTATTATTGTTATTATTTATTAATTGGCCAAAATAGCTCCTTTTAATGGTTGCCGACCTCTGGGTTGAGGTCCCAAAGCGTCTATATTTGACACCCCAATGAAACTAAACAGTTAACTATCTTTCTCCACTCTGATTGGTTGTTTTTGTTCGGGCCCATGGATTCTTGTAAATCCCATCAGGAGCATGAGAACAAGCCAGAGGAACCTGATTTTTCAACAGATTATCTGTCTCATGTTCTACTGTCAGGATATAATAAAAGTTTCAGCAAATCTGACAAAAAATAATTTTATAATAATTACCTCCTGCAGCTCTAATGTAGCCTTTATTATCATTCCTATTATTTTATGTCATTTTCAAACTGCCTACAATGCCTGAATAGTTTTCTTTCGGTGATCCCTCTGTTGAATCAGTTAAAAGTCAGTCCTGGTTCATTAGTGAGAGAGAGGTTTGGGGGGTGGGCATGGCTCCGGGTCGCTGCTGTTGCGCTGCGTCTGGATGAGGAAATGTTTGGAGCGCGCGTTTGGAGCCGTTGCGCTCGGATCACCGGACTCTGTGAACCATGAATGAACACAGCGGGAAGATGAACCTCTCCTCGGCGAACTCGTCCTCCTGGAAAGCGGAGTCGGTGGTGATCTCTCTGGGGTTTTCGGTGATCTTCCTGCTCGGCACCGTGGGGAACTCTCTGGTCCTCGCCGTGCTGTTTCGGAACGGGCAGATGAACACCAAAACCACCAACCTGTTCATCTTCAACCTCGGGATAGCGGATCTGTGCTCCATTGTGTTCTGCGTGCCCTTCCAAGCCACCATCTACACGCTGGATGAATGGGTGTTTGGCCCCGTGGTGTGTAAAGTCGTGCACTTCATCATTTTCCTCACCATGTACGCGAGCATCTTCACCCTGACAGCTGTGTCCCTGGACAGGTGCGTCCGACCTCTTCTCTCAAAGCTTCAAAGTTCAGCATTAAATGAGAGTTTCTCCACAGTCAGTGGGTGTGGGTGTGAAATATTTACAATGATAGGTAATATTTTATTGGATCTGGAGCAAAACAGGGTCCTTGTTTGGATTTTAGTAGAATGGAGCCATAGATAGATAGATAGATAGATAGATAGATAGATAGACAGAAGACAGACAGATGGTATTTTATTATGTGTTACAGCAGTCGGGTCACATAAAACCACAAAGACAATGAGATTTCTAAGAAAAAAACAATTAAAAAGCCAAATAATATGCAATAAGTTTGATTTATTTTACCAGGAAGTCCCACTGAGATCAATAATCTCACAAACGTATTAAAATACAACATATAAACATATAGAAACAATTCAAACATAATGGCCACATGCCTTTCAGACACATTATGCTTTAATTCATCGATGGGTGTGAATGTGTCTGATTTTGAACCATTTATTGTCTTTGTGCTCAGAATTTAAAGTCTTTACTGTGACGTAAACGTAATTAAAGTCCTGAATCAGGATGTTAAACTCATCGTTCCTTCAGCCATTGATTGACAAAGGCCTTCAAACACGTACGCACATCCACCGTTGGCAGCCAGGCTTCATTTGTGTCCCGGTATGCAACACACCCAAAACCGGATTTCACATACAGATCAGTGTAATTGGACTCATTCATTTCCTGCATCCTGTTTTATATGGTTGTTTTCCAGTTAAAACGTTGCTCCCGGCAAAGAGCACAATGCTCATTTTAAGGCCAATTTCTCAGTTTTATCTGGATATATAAACTCCTGAAAAGGTAAACACGTCCAGATGACACTGCAGTTTATACTGAAAATCCAGTTACTACATAATTTTTGCACTAATTAATTAATAGTAACTTCTCTATACGTCTTAAATATCAACATCACAAACTACAGCAATCCAATGTCTGGCAACTTAAAGGTCCAGTGTGTAACATTCAGGAGTATCTATTGTCAGAAATAGGATATAATCATAGGTAAGTTATAGGTAATTTGTGTATAATCATCTGAAAATAAGAATCGCTGTGGTTTTGTTACCTTAAGAGTCCACAAGGGGTCGCCAAAGCTTCACTGAGGGTGTTAAAGAAATCTTTAAAGTATTAAACGTCTGGATCACATGTCTTCCTTCTGCTCTCACAGGTATTTAGCCATTTGCTACCCGCTCCGCTCCCGGGAGATGAGAACACCGAAGAATGCCCTCACCTCCATTGGCCTGGTCTGGGCCTTGGCCCTGGTGTTCTCCGGTCCGTATCTCAGCTACTACATGCAACTGGACCTGGCCGGCACCGTGGTGTGTATCCCTGCCTGGGAGTCCAAACCACGCATCGCAATGGACGTGTGCACCTTCGTCTTCGGCTACCTCATCCCCGTCCTGGTGCTCGGCCTCACCTACGCTCGTACCATCCGATACCTGTGGACCAGCGTGGACCCCGTGAAGGACATGTCCGAGTCGAGGCGGGCAAAGCGGAAAGTCACCAAGATGATCATCATCGTGGCTGCTCTCTTCTGTCTCTGCTGGCTCCCCCATCACCTGGTCATCCTCTGCATGTGGTTCGGAAGCTTCCCCCTCAACCACACCACCTACGTCCTCCGCATCCTCTCCCACCTGGTGGCGTACACCAACTCCTGCCTCAACCCCATCGTCTACGCACTTGTCTCCAAGCACTTCCGCAAAGGCTTCAGGAAGGTGTTCAGCTGCTCGCTGAGGAGGAGGGAGGTCAACAAGGTGCACGTCGTCCAGGCGGTGAACACGGTGAGCAGCGTGGAGACGTCCAACTGAAGACGACGGCAAAGAACCGGACCAGACGAAGGAGAAGAAGAGCCAATTGAACATTTAAGAAGTCTCTAGACGACGTAATGTGCCAAAAATATTAACATCACTAGACTAAAAATCATCTGATTGAGTAAGACGACGGTGACCTCGGCAGGGTAATGGTTATTGATCACCTCCAGTTATTGTTAGCCTGCATTCTGGTAATTAAATTGATCACAAAAGAGAAAAACGGGCGTGGTTTGTCACAATCTGCTTAAAAAAAAGGACACAGATTGATCAAGTGAAGGCAACTTATTTGACCTCGTAGTTCTCAGCCATGCTAGCAGCGAAGCTCCAGGGATCGGTCAGCCGGTCCACCATTTGGTCCAGACTGAAATATCTCAACAATTAGCTGATGGATGGACATAAAATTGGGTGCAGACATTCACGATCACTGCAGGAAGAAGCCTTCGACCTCATGTGCCACCATGATTGTTTTTTGGTGAAATGTCTAACGCCATCATCAGGTCAAAATCTCACTTCGACCAAGAATTTAGTTTATGACCAAACGCCTGCAAAAAAACCAAAGACACTCCCATTACACACTAAAGATACACACTAAATAAAGATGGTGAACATTAGAATTTCTAAACATCACCATTTTAGCATTGTTATGTTTAGCTCAAAGCACCACTTTCTTTATTTTTTTAGGCTTTTCTGAACACGTTACAGCCAGAATTAGACGCACCGCTTCAAACGCCGTTGTTTGCTAACATTGTTGTTTCCGGAAGTTGGTCCCTAGCGCCTTGTGAAGGACGGGAAGCTATGATCAGAATCTGGATCAAGACTTATCTAGATCCACGTTAGATTTATAATTTGAGATTTATGGTTTAATAGGACACTAAGAAAGTCTTCAGATACCTTGATTTGTGTCTAATTCTGTTTATTGTGCTAGAAATTAAAAGCACATGTGGACACAGAGATTTATGGTTGATCAGGTTCTGAAGTACTTTTCCTGGAAATCCTCCCGGCAGACAGACGAGAATCCTGCTGGCTGAACACGTGTTTCATCATGAAGGTCATTTAGACACTAAATAAAGGGATATTACCACTATTGTATTCAGTGACTTGTGCGATTACAGTTTTACAGTTAGTACTAATAAATTTATTTATGTAACATGTTTAAAAGAAAAGTTGCTTTAATTTATGGAAGCCTATTTCCACCGATGTGACGGAAAAAGGTTCTCTAAGTCATTATAATGAGAAACTTTCCCAAAATATTGACTGAGTATAAGTCATTATTTTGAGATGCTGAGTCATCATTTTAAGAAACTAAACATTATTTAGAGAACCTAAACATTATTTAGAGATGCTAAGTCATTATTTTGAGAAGGTTTCTCATTATGATGACTTACAGAATCTTTTTTTTCCTGTCACACTGGCAGAAACAGGCCTCCATATTATTCAGAGCCAGAAAGCCAGAAAAATATATTGTGAAACAAAAACACAGCTAAAAAGATACCGTAACAATATGTTTTTAAATTAAGATGAAGAGCTACGGTGCCTGATTTAGGTCATCAGCTTCATCCCAAAGGAGTTTGTAGAAGGACTGACTCGCTGAAAGCTCAGATGAGTCTCAAATGCAGAAGGTCGGCGGTGCAGGTTTTGGCTGGAAGCTGCCTACATGAGCAGTCTGAGGAGATGTGGGTGGTGTTGGACGGTGGGAAAAAAAAGACATGTTATGCAACTGACAGTTGCTGGACAGATTTTCAATCACTTCTGCATATCTGAATATACGTCTGTTGTGTTACTAATCCAGCACCGTGTACACAAACCTCAACAGGCCTCAATGTTCTGTGGTTTTATAAATATGCTGCATGATCCTCGGTGTTGTATTTGGTGATATACAGCTGGCTGAGCAGGGCTACAGGACATTAAACCGTCTGTTGCTGTAATGTTTCTGTGTGTGTTCATGCATGCCGACAGTATTATTGTGCTGTACAGATCATCATAAGAGTTGTTGAACTAATAAATACATCAGGTTGTTGCGTGTCCATCCCTTCACCTGATCCCGTGTCAGATCCTTCAGTAGGGTCTCACCTGGCGAGTGGCGTCCTGTTATATGCTGCCGTACAATGGTAGCTCTGCTGTCGAGTACCGACACTTCTGAACGCTCACAAATTCATGACGAGGACAAGTTCCTGTTTTCTGTGGAAGTGAAGTACAATGAAGATCCACGACTTCAGGGTTTATACACGATAGGTGTGTTGCTTGTGGACAGGTTTAGAGCTAAATAAACTTTTGCAACACCAAATATCATGAGACATATCGCGATATAGAGCGAACAATGACACAGCGAGTGATATAACCAACGTTAGCTATGATGTGGGTTAGTGAACTGTTGCTACAGTTGGTGAAACCCTTCAAACTGTACTTTTTATCTCTTTTTAAAGGTCCAGTGTTTGACATTTAGGAGGATCTATTGGCAGAAATGAACTATTAATTACATCAATGAAGCAAAACCTTTAGATTTCTTTAACTCACCACAAAATAATCATTTTCTTATTTTTGTCTCCAAAAACTGACGTGATTGCTGATTTAATGTTTTATTTTGAAAAGATTTTCCTCACTAAAGCTCATTAAGTCTTTAAATTGGCATTATTGTATACATATGTGTGTGTGTGTGTGTTTCCATTACACAGCCTCTTATGAATCCCCCCTCTCAACCTTTCTGTTATTGTTAATGATTGAATTACACAAAAAACAGACGACTCAGCGCTGAGTGGTATAATTAATGACCCACTTCCTCACAAATTAGGTGTGGCAATTATAATAATTCCTAATTAACATACATTTCACCAAATCCTGCTTTAATTATATAAATTATACAAAATTGAACATAATCACTGTAATGTTTTAAGGTGGAGCTTATTTTAATTACTTTATATTCAGCATTCATAATAGTTGATTTATATTTTCTTCAACTTTAATCAAATAAATGTAGTATAAAGTGGAAATACTCAAGTACAGTTTTTAGGGTATTTATACTCTGCAAAAAGGGCAAAAATGTCTTATTTGTGTGAAATGAGTTATTTTTTGGCAAAAAAAGAAAACTAATCTTGTCAAACATGTTTTACATTAGAACTGTAATCTGGTTTTAAGAAAATATATCTAACTTTATCTTAATAGAATATTACAGCTAATATTGAGCTTGATTTAACAAGTTGAAGCAGCTATTTAGTAGAGATTATTAATCTCAGATTAAGGTACAAAGTTTTCATTGCTTGTAATAAGAACAACCTGCTTAGATTGTTATTTTTTCTAGTTTTAAGTCTCATTACAGTCTTTTATTTTTATGCTAGTTTTAGTGAAGCAAAATTCCTCACTGGCAGAAAATGTGATTATATTTAAGAATATTTGGCTTCTGGTTTCTTGAGGGGCTATTTTATTTAAAGTACAGTAGTTGAGTAAACGTATTGTGTTTGATTCCCCCACTGTTACGTGATGTGTATTGATTACAGCAGCTTTAGCTTTAACTGAACGTGCTCTTCCATGGAAACACACCAATCTGTACCAGCACACTGTCGTTATGTAAATGAAAAACCTCCACCGCTGATCAACGGATGCTTGTTTTTGTCACAAAGACGTCTCGCTGAGGAGCTTTCAAGTGTTTCACCTTCAGAAAACCCCTCGAATGCTCGTTAGGATGCAACAAGATCTCCCGGCTCTAACGATGTGTTCCTGACGTCTGTTATTTATTCAGACCGACGCTCGTATGTGGTGACAAACATTTAACTATGTACCCACGGTTGGAAAATGGATGACAAAAGACACTTCAGTGTGTTATTTGTCGGTAAAACCAGTCTGATTATCTTTGTGTCATCAACAAAACAAATTACAACCAATTCACAGAGTTCCCTTTATTATGGTTTTGAAATGCTAAGCTGGAACGGCTAAATTACATAAATACATCATGTTCATATCTTTGTACAAAACATTCATCAGACGAGGAGGAGGAGGAGGAGGAGGGTGGCGGTAGTGTGAGGAGAGGCTCGAGTGTTGTTAGAGGAGCTCGTGTTGAGCTCGGGGTGAGGTGTGGGGGAACAGGAGCCGGAGCTGATCAAAGCCAAGCTCAGGCGGACGTGTCGAACAGCCTTTCAATCATCTCCTCCACCTCCTCCGGTCGATACTTGTGATACTTCTCTGGGTTCTTGGTGAAGGAGATGTTGGCGCATCTGGATGAAACAGGAGAGAGAACCAGTGGGTGTGAGGAGCAGTAATTTAAAACATTAGACCTGAAGCATTTCACTGCAGGAACATAAATGATAGAAAGTACCGTACAGACAGTTTGACGACAGGATATAAAGTACGGAGATGTTTTTATTGCCAGTTTTGGCTGCGGCTAAGTCGGCTAACACCATCTAACATCACTGTTAGCAACAGTTAGCTTCTTTTTGCAACAAGTGCATCTGGAAACTCCATAAATCACCTCGGTACCGCTGTCGTCAAACTGTCCTCTGTCTGTCTCGGAGGTTGTGTTCAAACGTCTCGTCTGTCTCGGGTTGGTTCACTGGAGTTGAGCCCGTTCATTCGTACGCTACAGCTGGGAGGACGTCAGGGGAAAAACGACAATATTCTCTCCATAAAATATATCCATTCACCCAAAATCACTGATAAGTTGTTGCTTTAGTGTTGCTGTAGCTAGCTACTAATGATTAAAATGATTGGATTTTGAAATAAAATTACAAGAAATTGAGATTTGTATTTTTTGGGCAACAATTACTGAGGATGTGATCTTGCAATCAGTTTTTTTTATTTGATTTTGGATGAAAAGTGCATTTATCTTATCGTTACTTTTATAGAACTAAGGGTTAATAGCCGATTGATCAGAACTCATCAGAAACAAGATTAAAGTTGTTGCTAGGTCTTGGCACAGACCAGACAAGTATAACTCAGAAGTTTTCAAATCGCCATCATGGATGCGTTATCTAGGCATCATTTTTATCCGTTTACTTGTTAAGCCGCATTGAAAGGCGATGTTCCCTCTCTTTACTACTCGGTAGCGATGCGTGCTTTGGGAACACTCACTGTGCAGGAGCCTGTAAGACAGCACCACTTCTTCGAGACTGGCGGATGAAGTCTCGCGCTTTTGTCCGATGGCCCAACGCCTTCTGGATCTTACACAGTATCCAGCCATCTAACCAGAATGGCAGCGAGAGGAAGCAGTCAGACAGTTGTTCTTGTGATCTTCAAAGATCTTAATGTGAAGCTACACCTGAGCTCCGACCACCTCTTGAATTTTTTAATCACTGTCGCTCTTTCTTTCACTGAGGAAGACACAGAAGATATGAACTGACTACTATGAACATTTAGCGTTCTCTGCTCAGATTATTTTTGTTTTTTTTTTTCCCTGGTTGGTGACCTGCTCAACTGACACGATCAACTTTCTTCCTCCAGTGCGAAATCAAACGGCTCCTAAAGTTGAAACCTGCTACAAAGTTGAGCGATAATAAAGTCTGCCTTGTTGCCGCTGGAAGAGTGGAGTCCTGTCCTCAGGTGCTCGTGACTTTCAACCCTGCACAGAAATGATACGTAGAAAGCTGCGGACGCCACAGAAGGAAGCATGTTTGAGTGAGCGCGTTTACCTGTTGTAAGTGTGGATCTCCTGCTCATCGTCCCGGTATCAACTCTCAGTTGCTCTGAGTACGTGACAGTGGATCAGCGTCAGACGGCACAACACCACACCACCACAACACACCAACAGACACACACACCAGAACACACACACACACAGACACAGTGAGGACATTACACCCTTTATCATGGAGTAAACCATTTTGAGCAGATTATTTCCTGTGAATATTAATCAGAGATGAGTTTTTCTGATATTTTTAAAACCTTTTCATACAATCATCTGTATTATTTTTCGCCCATTTTTGCCAGTGTCGGGGAAAAAAAGTGATTCTGTAAGTTATTAATGAGAAACATTCACAAAATTATAAATAAGTATCTCAAAATAATAGATACTATTAGGCTTCTTTTTTGACTAATGTCATGTTTGACCATTGATCAGCTCTCTCTGACACACAGGCGTAATGTACATGTTTAAAAAAAGGTTTTCTTCCTCCCTTTAAAATCAAGAAGGCCTCACGACCTCCTCTCTCATCTACTACATTTTTCTGTCTCTATTCTGTTTGTCTTTAAAATGGAACCAGTAAACCATCACATCGGTTGCACACTTGTGTCATCCAGACGCACAGTGTCTGATACACGTCAGAAACTCACTTCTCCAGCGACTTGAGGATGTAGTTGTAGTTGTTGTGCAGGAAGATGGCGCTGAGCGCCGAATCCTCGTACACTTTGGATTTGCTGAGCAGGTTCAGCTGCAGGTTCCCGAGCACTTTACCTGAGAGGGAAACGACTTATCCATCAGTTTCCACAATCATCCAAACAGGGGTATAAAGAGGAGGCGGATTCTTCCACACTTACATATATAAGTGCTCAGGAGCTTTTTGTTGAAATCGGAGGTGTAGCTGCTCGCTGAACTCGTCTCTGGAAGAAATACAGAAGTTTAAGATTTACTCGCTAACACACAGTTTTACTACTTAAGTTATTCTAATAACACTTCTTTCATTTTCTCTTTAGATGGAGACGCCTCCACTCAGACTGCCCTCAGGACCAGAAGTATTAATTACAGAGGAAGCACTCGAGTTGCCATGGCAGCATCTAAAAGCACTTTTCTTTCACCCTGCACTTCGGCACAATGCCGAGGGTCTGTTTGTGACACAGTGAATTAATTAGCTGCAATTATAGTTTCAAGAATCAGCACGAAAACATTCAGATAAAACAGTGAGTGGGGGCGAGCGGGAACCAGAGTAACGCTGTCAGATAAACTTCAGTAAACAAATGTGGAACGACGTCGGTATAATTTGATGAAAGTACAGCAACAACACTTTATTATTTATTTTATTCTTGTTTTTATTAAAAATGTCTGAGAGTGTCCTCGTTAGTATGGAAACACAGTCCGTCCTTTATCTTTTATCCAACATTTTACAACAACAGTATTTAATTTAACACTATAAAAAGAGTAAAAATAACTAATTTAATTTGCTGTTTTATTGACTTTTATTAAATTAATTTTATTACAGCTTAATTTTATTGTGTCATTTGTTTGGTTACAACTTGTGCAAATACATAAATAAATAAAAGTAAGATTATCACTATATCAAGGTAATAACATTTTAATGTAAAAATGGAATTAAAAAACAATAAATCGTTAAAAAATTTAATTAAAGCTGCAGTAGTAGGTAAAAATAACTTTTTGTTATATTTGTGGAAACCACACTATATTAAATGGTATTTACTAACTAACTATCTTCAGGAGGAGTCAGAGGAACCTGATTATTTCACAGATTATCTGTCTCGTGTTCTACTGTCAGGATATAATGAACGTTTCAGCAAATATGACAGCTTTAATGACATTTTTACATTAAAATTACTTTATTTGATATTAATAAAACATATTTTTATTAGTTTATTTATTTGCAAAAGTTAAAATCAAAGGACATAAAAAAGACAATATATAATATGGTAGAGGGATAGATAAACAGCCCTATAAGGGACAATAGATCTTGTTGTCAGAGAGAAAGAAACGTTTGTTACTTTCATCCTTACCGTCACTGATTAGCCTCCATACTGAAAAACTCAGACTTCAGGATGTGTTAAAGTATTAAATAATCTTTCAATAAGACACAAGAAATAATTATTAATTCACTGTTTTTTTTCCAGGTAAAACTCAGTGCGAGTTTAACGTATCAACATAATTTTAATTGTGTGCTTTATGTAGTGATGCAGTGTTACTTTCATACCGACTCTCCCCTACATTGACTCAGGTACATTTACTCGAGTATTTCCATTATATGTTACTTTACACTATTACTCAGTTACTTTCAGAGGCAAATGTACTTTTTGACTTATAAACAACATTTATGTGACAGTTTTAGTTACTCGATACGTCAAATCTGAGTCTTTTAGCTCGTATATGACTGGGTTCGGATCTTTTCAGGACTGTGTGAACGGCAGTAGCAGAAAAGTAATAAAACTAGTAGTGTAACAATTACTGTTGGCAGGGAGTAATAAGAGTAATACTATTACTTTAGAAAAGAGTAATGAGTAATAAATAAAAAATTTTGAGTAACTAGCCCAACAGTGGTTACCAGTTAATAAAATATTCACTATTATAGATAAAACTACAGTAAATAAAGTGGTTAAAATTAGCTCCTTGACAACAATAATTATTAATATTTCAATAAAAATACATAATAACACTTTTAATGGCATCATTTTGCATAATGAATACTTTCACTTTTGGTTCTTTAAGCCCAATTTCCCGCTAATACGTCTGTATTTTTACTTAAAGGTCCAGTGTTCAGGATTTAGTGGTATCTAGGGGTGCAGTTGCTGATTAGCCCCCATCTAGAGCCAATGTTTGGTTTGTCTGCTACAGTAGAAACATGGCGGACCCTGCCATTGGTGATAATACACAAATGAAAACATACTTATTAATAACATATTCCATTTCTGACAATAGATCCTTCTGAATGTTACACACTGGACCTTTAAGTAAGAACAGGACTTTCACCTGTACCAGAGTATTTTTTTCACGTATTTGCGACTTTTACTTAAGTAAACGCGCATTTCTTCCACCACTGCTCATCAGGGGCCTCCACAGGAATCTTTTGCTTACCTCGGGGGTCTAAAGGAATATTGTAAGTGTCCCCCAGTACTAAAAGGGCCGAGGCAAGGCAGAAGAGAAAGAGAAAGAGAAAGAGAAAGAGGCACAAGTGCAAAAAGGTTAGAAAAGATCTGTTAGTGCAGAGTAAGCAAACAGTCATCAGCCAGGCAGCGAGTGTCTGAAGACAGTCGGGTAATGAAAAGGAGGGAAAGCAAAGCAGCGATCGACAGGGGACAGGAGGGGGCCAGAGACCTCATTTACAACCCCCCCTTCCAGAGGAGAGGATATCGGATTAAAATCCACAACAAATCCAATTTAACTTTAACATATCTTTTTTTAAACATTACTGGGACTGACGCGCTGCCTCTCGCACATGCACATGCCAGACAAAGCGTGCGTCACAGCGGCTCCCTTTAAAAGGAGGAGGGGAGGAAGGAAGGTGGAAAGACAGAACGGGTGAGGGGAGAACGTAGGAAACCTGTGACGGTGTGTGGATTAGAGGTTTTTCTGTCTGATCTGTCCGTGTTTCGGTATCAGTAACCTCCTAATACAGTGTTTGGACAGTGACATGTTCTATAGAAATATAATACAGCCATTACACAGCCCTAATGGGTGACTTACAACACTGCCCATCATTACATAGTAAAAGGATGCTGATAAGATAACCAAAAATTTCACATTTGTGTTTTAAAGTTCATAACCTGCAGTTTTTACACACTTGATGACAAAAATACTTAATTTAACTGACATCAGTGTTGTTAACAGAGAAATTCTGACTATTCAAATTAAAAAGCCCATCAATATTCTTCATAATTCCAAATAATTATAAATGTATCTGTTGTAATTTAATTATCCGGATAATTCATAATGACATAAATGTGCCATTATAATGATGATTATCGTGCATCCTCAGTAATTACCGAGGTTTGAATGGTACAGATCAGAAGACAGCACCCTTTACTATCAGAAGAACCTTTTTTTTTGGCTAATTTCTCACCACAAATGAAACATTCCATATGTTCTTTGGTCGACGCCACAGGGAGCCACTGGCGAGGAGCTCGAAGGCCACGTGCTACTCCAGGGCTTCAGGTTTCCTAACCCCGGTACAGAGTACGGGGCTCTAGCTGACTGTATTTGTTGTTTGCTCGTGTTTTTGTCCATTTGGACTCTGATGAAGACGCAGTAGTGTTCAAACACAATTACAGAATTTAATTCTGTTTGCACAGTTAAAGGCTGTGTATTAATCAGCGTGCTGCAGTCCTCCTTTGTTCGGTTTGCTGCTCTGTAACTGATTCAGCTGCATCTACTTTGTACTAGATATTGTCTTTATATTGTCATCAAGATTTTAAATATGATTATTTGTCATTTTTAAAGCAAAAATACCAAAAGAAAAGTCGTTTTCAACCTGTTTAATGTATTTTGGTATTTAATATTTATGGGTTGTTTTGACTGTTTGATTAATTATTTAGTCAGAAATATGTCTTGTTTTGTCCAACAATCAATTCATTTAAAGGCCTGACACCTTCTTTGGTGGAAGTGTTCATAATCTATTTGGCTGAAAAGTGAGTTTTTCTTATCACACTATATTTAGAGTCTTTAGGCACATGGCACAGTTTATATATATATATATATATAGATAGAATATATAGATCGGAGCCTGACGCACATGTGTGTACTGAAAATAATAAAAATACATTTTCACTGTTGATTCAGAGCATTTTCTACCATTTTAGGTTGTCAAATGTCCCCAAAAACTAAATACAGTAAAGTAATATAGTATCTATGATCTCTTAAATGTCAAATATATGTACATATACGGAGTGTAAAAAAAAAGCAGCAATTTTTCTAATTTGTTTAGAAAAATCCAGACTTTGACCATTAATAAAAGTGTGATATTTCATGTTATCTAAAAATGTATGTCGGTACCAAATTTCCAGACTTTCGACCAATCAGAACAAATGTTGTGGCATTTTTCTAATCAGACTGAATATATAGTCTTTGGGCTCAAACGGGTTAAACAAATAAGGTTACAGCCCTACTTCCTATATAGAAGAACTTTGTCACGTTGGTTTTAAATTATTATAATGATTTTTATAAATTTCAGTACAAATGTTAGTTCCTTTGTAGGTAAGGATGGAAAAATGTAAAATAAAATGTTACTAATATTCTTCTTGTTGATGCTAAAAACCTTCTGTTCTGTTGTTTTTTCCTAAAATTTGGCAACTGTGTACTTGAATAAAAGCTGAAGGTCGCCACTTTAACTTTAACGTCCAACACAAAGAACAGAAGCAATAGATGCACATATCACTGTCCAAATACTGTCTGACAGAATAATGAGAGTTAGTTACGTCACTGTAGGTTAACCTGCACATGGATAATGTTAGATGACAGAAATCTGACAAGGACCACTGCTGGCATTGGCACTAAAGGAAGCAGCATCTCAGCAGGCGAGCGGGGCAGCGGGGGGTCTAAGGGAACGCCGGCTAACGGGTCGTGTTGGTGCGGCTCTACCTTGCGAGGCCAGCATGGCTCCGGCAGTCTCGTGGAAGTCCAGCAGCTGCTGCAGGAACAGGATGGCCTGCAGGAGAGAGAGCTCAACGTAAGCATCACCTCAGCTTATTGATTCAACACAAACGCTGCCGCTCGCCGCTGTTAGCCGTTCCCATGGAGACCACCTGGATCACAGCAAACCGTAAAAGTGCTCCCTCGAGGGAAGGTGTTGAGTTTGAAGTGCAGAGCGAGCAAATAAATCCGAGAGCGCCGTTACGCAACAGAAAAGGTGAAGAGAGCGGTGGCTTACGTTGCTGGTGAGTTCGTGCACGGTTCCATCCTTGGGCATGTTGTACTCTTTATCGGGATCATTCTGTGGTCAGAGAGAGAGACAGGACTCAGTAAATAACCAGAACCAACATCAGCCTTTCAGTGGGGTTGACATGCACTGCTCCTGCTCCTCTCCTGAGTGCTCAAACATTTAACATTAAAGGATAAACTGCACACACAAGGTGGAAAAAGCAAGAAAAAATAGGGCAGGGAATGTTTTGAGTGTTAAACTTAAATACATAGTTAAAAAATGTAATTTGCCATTGCATATTATTTAACATTTATTTACCCTTTAAAGGTTTATTAAAAAGTTTCAATAAATTGTCTGAAAATATTCTCAAGTGTATTTTTTAGTCCACAGACTGACCACAGATAATGGCTGTTTCATTTTAAAGGCAGACGTCATACAGTTCTTAATGCAGACCACTGACTGTACCTGCTACACTCACATATCATATACTGCTGGATTCAGCACAGTCAGACCTTTCTAGCAAACCCTGGTTGGTGTTTGTGGGACAATCCCAGCCAAAGCTACCTTAAAGTAAATGAATACATTCATCATAGAGCCTGATATTTGATATTTCCGCCTGTTGTACGTCTGTGTTTGTGGTCCTGTATTTCCTCAATGCATCAAGATATTCACATTATGTTTTTTTAGACATGTAGAGGAAGCACTTGTCCACTTCCACACCACATCTGGGATCAATCAGAGCTTGAATTATTAAATTATAAGTTCAGACGTATCATCTCCCCTTTGGCCTGGCTCTATTGTGCACTCATTTATGTGGTGTATCACAATATCCGTCAATTAAGTAAAATAATTTTATAAAAGAATTTCATATGCAGGAGATCTTGGAGAATATGAAAAACATTGCTGTGCTTTGTTCTACCTTTGCCTTCCCACTAGCCTAACTCTTTAATGAGAGAGTAAAATGTGAGCGTGTTGCCTTGATGCTGTCTGCAAACTCCTCCAGCGCTTTGGCTCCAATCGTCTCCATGGAGGTGATGAGTGTCGGCAGCTTGTTCTTGGTGCTGGCTGCTGTTCCCTGCAGACAAAGTGTATTACATTTAAAAAAAGATGACTTTAATGCAGCATCTTCTCTCACTCCTACAACAGATACTGAAGGGATGACGACCTGCAGCGTCGTGTCAAAGTCAGACTTGTTGATCTTCAGGTGTCTGAGGATGGGGAAGATGGTGAGGACGGCCGAGTAGTCGTGGCGCATTATGGCTCTGCGGGCTGCAGACACGATGTTGTCTCCCTCCAGCATCAGGTTGTCCAGCGCCTCCTGTGGACGGACGAGGGAACAGGAAGCAGATTACACATAAAGGGAGTGACGTGCATTAAAGTTGGGGCTGTTTCCTGTTGTCTTTAAAGGAGGTGAGTAAAGAATCCTTGTTTCATTCATTGGTTATGACACTTTAATAAATTATTCACATTTTCAGTGACATGTTTTGATTTGGGTGAAAGATAAATAAAAGATACTTTGAGTAAAGGTTTGTTGTCTTATTTGGTTTATTTATTGTTTATGATGCCACAGCTGCTGCCGGTTAGAGTTCAGTAAGGAGATGGATTAATGTTCTGTAACGAACAGAATGAATCATATCTGACACCTCATTATTCTAAAAAAGATGCATCGTTTTTAACATGTTTAATAGGATGTGAATGCAAATATATCAAATCCATCATAAATCTTGAAGTTAATGATATTTTTGTAGACTTTATTCTTCACAGATCTGGGATTCCCCAGTTATTTGGCGAGTAATTATCTCAAGTACTGTGATGGAGCCATTAGACTGTTCAATCAACGTTCACTTCATTAATGAGGAGCTAAAGCAACATCGCTGCAATCCCGCCGTGGTTTCCTAGATTTTATTACAATTACCATATTTAAGAGTCTGCACAATATGAAGGTAAAATCAATCAAATTACATTTTATAAAATCCCTTACAATAATTTTTAAATGAAAATCATTTTAAATACCTCCAAGCTGACTTAATGAGTGTTAAATATTTAATCTTATCAACTGGTTTTCAATAAGTAACGACCAGGAACACCGGTTCCCAACCTTTCTCCTTAAGCGAGCCCTTTTCTATCACTGACCCCTGACTGAGACATATTTTATGGATATGTCGTATTGTTTGACGTATAACAATAACAGTACAGAACAACTGATGAACTGTAAAAAGTGAACAAATAAAAATTTTGATGAATTTTGAGCAGATTTATTTTCAGTTTTCCTGATATTTTTAGGAACTTTTTACAAAATCTTCTGTCTGTTTTATGTATTTTGCATTTTTTAACACTCATTCAGACTTCATAGGCTTCTTTTTTGACAAATTTTGTGTTTTCTTCTCCCTGATGCTTGTTCTATTATCTCGGTTTCTTTTTACTGCAGGATGATGAGATATATCTATGAAAGACCAAGAAGACCTTTTTCCGACCCCCATGGTCTGCGATCTTCGCCTCACTTTAAATGAAAGTGAGATTCCTGTGTTTGGAGCCTGAATGAGGGAGTCGAAGGTCTTCTTCTGGTGGTGCTCGGGGATGATTTCTGCCAGCAGGCTGTACTCGCTGTGGGCCAGCTTCACAAAGGCACTGATACAGTGGATGTAGGAGTCGATCTCGATGTCCAGAACGTCGTCCTTCCCTGAGAGGTACACGAGGGACAGATCCAGTCAGCCGGTAGACAAAGAAAGACTTTAGGAATTTAATGTAAGATAAGACATGGGCTCAAGCAGTTACTGAGTGTGTGTGTGTGTTCGGATGGAGCGCTGCACTGACAGTGAGATGTGTTAAATCTGCAGTAGGTGAGACTTTTAAGTCTTTCTGTTCCGTCTGTTTTTCCCCCACATGTTCCCGTCACTCACCTGCGGCGGCCCCGTGCTTCTCGGTCAGGGCGTCAGAGTGGTGTTTGACCCGCAGGTCGTGATCGTAACCTGGTGGGTGAGGTG